AACTAAAACATGCAGTAGGGTGTTCCTCAAGGACCAGGGTTGGGAGCCACTGCCCTAAGTAGAGTCATGATGAGCTGGTGCCTATCTTTAGTGGTCACTGGGTGGAAGGCAAAGTAAATGAGAGGCAAACAACCACTCACACTCACCCCTAGTGACAACTTAGAGTTGCCAAACATGCATGCTTTTGGTCTACGGGAGGAAACTGTAGTACTCAGTAAAAACCCATGAATACACTGAGTGATTGTGAATAGTCCACACAGACCAGATACAGCTGTGATTTTTTTTTAACAACTTTCTTGTTGAGGCACAACCTCTGCTACACTGCCCCAATGTCAAACAGTGTTTTTATTCAAATAAACATAATAAAAAAGACTGCTGTAATATTTGTTCCCAGGGTCCAGAGCACTGCTCCAGTCTGAACTTTGGCCTTGGCTCCAGCGGTCCAGTTCTGGGGATCTCTAGCTCTGAGCTGGAAGCAGGTGTCGAGTACACGTTCAAACTGACCATTGGCAAAGACGGCATGACTCCAGAATCCACCACACAGACTGTAAGTGGACACAGACTCCTGCAGTTTTATTAATGTACTTTAAATGTAAACCATCATCCTCCTCGTCCAATGCATTATTCATTGTAACGAGAACTAGAGAAATTACATTTCCTACAAAAACACTGTAAATGCTGAGTGTTGAATGACTTCTGAATTTTATTTTGAAGAAGCTGAAACTGAATAATCAAAGCTGTAAGAAGCAGAATACTATCTGAAAGCTATAAGAACCCAAATGCTAGCTAAAAGCTGAAAGTAGCACAATGCTCCCGTGCAACTCTTTCATTCACTTCCTGAAGTGTTAACCTTTGAGGTGTGTATTTGTATGTCAGGTATTCGTGCAGAGCGGCTACATTCCCATGGTGTATCTGGAGTGTGTTTCCTGTAAGGCCCAGTCCATTTACGAGGTCAGCCAGAACTCATACGTCTTTCTCAGAGGAACCTGTACCAACTGCCAGGGCGTTCACCGAGGGGTAAACACACACACACACACACAGTATGTCTACACCTGGCTATTTGTTGCAACATCAGCAACATGAGGTCAACATTTCCAGGTCCTCCTCCTTCCCACTTCTTGTTGCTCAACTTTTCCTTGGGATTTTTGCGCAGTTGTGTGTGGGTGCGAGATGAATGAGGTCACTGGAGAAGTGGAGCCAGAGAGAAGATGTTAACATATGGAAATCATTTCTAAGCTGAAACGCTGGAGCTGCTGGATATATGCACACATCATCTGTCCGGTGTCAGCTGTAGAACAATTCTCAAGATTTTTTTTCTGTACAAAGTAATACAGTAGTCCCTCAATACTTTGCGGTTCGACTTGAGCGGACTCACTCTTTCACGGGTTTAGGTTAAGTTAGGTTTATTTGTCATGCAAAATCAACACAAGGTCAACAATGCAATGAAATGCTTAGGACGAGAAGAATCGTCTCGACTTGCCAAAAAAACAAACAACAAGAAATACCAAAGCATGCAGCAAAAATACTACAAAAACATACTAAAAAATACTACTAAAATACTAAAAAACATGGCGCCAAAGCTGAAAAAGAAGTTCATCTACAGTGTGTTTTGGTTAGCAGTGAGGTTCTTTCAACATCATGGTTCTGTTCTGTTAGCAGTGTGGTCGTGTTAGCAGCTTAGCAGGTCTTGTTAGCAGGTTCGTTCAGCTGCTTGATGGTAATAAGGACCGCAGCAGCTGACCTCACAGACCACAGTCCAGAACCGGGTCCGGCAGACAGAGAACATCCAAAGTTTCCCAGTGGAACCGAACAGGTCCGTAGAGTTCAGTCTGTGCAGGCAGATGGTGGATCTTGTTAGCAGCGTTAGCAGGCCCCACTAGCAGCTTGATGATAATAACGACCTCTGCCCTCCCAGACTGCCCTCCAGAACCAGGTCCAGCAGACAGAGAACGTCCCAGGTTTCTCTGCTGTGACAGACAGCCTCAGAAAGAGAAAGGAAGGGGCAGAGTTGGAGTCTGTTTTTCCCCATTGCTATTGCTCAGGGAACAGGTACTGCTCAGGGAACAGGGCTGAACAAATGTAGAATATTGGAGAAAATGCTTAGGAGGAAAAATAAAAGTGAATCAGTTTATAAAAAGAGAGAGACCGGCCGAGTGCTGCTCACTCGGTATAAGACAGACACCCTTCCCCCCCCCCATCCCCCGACCCCTGCTTTCTCTTTCCGAGGCTGTCTGTCATAGCAGAGAAAGAGAAAGGAGGGGGCGGTGGTCTGTCTTTCCCCATCCTGTTCCAGAGACACACAACAGGCAGGCGCGCAACAGACAGCCTCGGAAAAAGTGGAAATTTATATATGCTTACTAAAATAAAATATAACGTCCCTACTTAGCTAATTTTCACCTATCGCGGGTGTGTCTGGAAAGTAGCCCCCTCTATAAGTGAGGGACTGCTGGTACTGTACATGAATATGAAACCTGAATAAGAACTCAACAAACACAGCTAATTTAAATTTAAGTGCATCAGCTGGAAAAGAAACGATCTGGTATTTAAATAAAATTTTGCATTATATATTAATAGTTCATTCATCTACAGAATAATTCATAACATTTCTGTTATTATCAAACTACTGGTAGTCATTCTCCTTAACCAAAGAAACATTTAGACTTTAATTTTTTGTGCATAAAGTCAGTAGTATACCTTAATATATTAACTTTGTTCTGTTAAGCGATTAGACTGTCTTTAATGTCTGTATGCTTTTGGGGGTTAGAATGAACAAGTAGTTACCTGAAATCTGCTGAACGAGTTCAACTTTGGCCAAATATATATATATATCAAAGGATCAATATTCAGCTATTTATATCTTTTATTTTGTTATTTTAGTGTATATTTGTCAAAATGTTAGACTCTTTCTTTAAAACGATTTAATCCCAAAAATCTGCCATTTATTAATTAGCATATCTACACCAGTTATTTGTAGCATCTGTCACTGCTTGGTCTAAATATTTAGTCTAAATTAAAACCAGTGGCGAAAGAGCAAATGTGTAGACAAATTTGAAAAATACCGATTATTAAGTTTGTAGCCTTTCACGAAAGAAAGTAAACCCCACTGTCACTGAAACGACTGACAAAAGTAATAAGAAAGAAAAACATACTGAAATTGTGATTCAACAGAAGAAGAATAAAAACATACTAATAAAAATGGCCTTGACAAAAAGATTGATACACAATGAAAATTTTGAAAATAATTTTATCATAATGTAATTATCATGAGTGTCTTCATCAAAAGTGCAATAAAATCTCAAGACTATCGAGGCATTCTGGAGAGAAATGTGCTGTCTAGTGTCAAAAAGCTGGTCTCGGTCTCAGATCATGAATCCTCCAACAATATAATGACACAACACACAGCTAAGGACACCTAAAAACAACTAAAAACATTACATTGAACTTTTCTAAAGTGGCCTTTTGTTCTGAATCCCAGTGAACATTTGTGGAAGTATAAATATTTAATATTGGATCATTTTCCGCAACAAATAAATGACCAAGTTTAATATTTGAGTCTCGTTAGTTTAACTGGTTTCTCTTTATCTACTTTTATGAATTGTGTGAAAATCTGATGATGTTTTAGGTCATATTTATGCAGAAATATAGACAAATCTAAAGGTTTCACAAACATTACACCACGTTATGGGTAACTTGTTCTTGTCAAGACCAGCGTCATCACTTTGTTTTTCAATGAGTCTGTTGAATCAAAAGCAATGACTGATTTCCATTAACTGATTGAAAAAAAAACTTTTTTTCTTATTGCTTGCTATAGTTTTCAAGTTATTTCAGTGACCTTTGTAGCTTTTTCTTTAACAAAAAGTACAAACCTGCAATCCCATAGTTTTACTTAAACAATGTTTTTAAAAATTTCACTGAATTAATTTGCAGTTAAGTTTATAAAAGCTTCTTTTTTTTTTTTTGGCACCACTAATACAATTCTCTGTCGCCGTCTTTCAGCGCTGGAGCGCCATGACGCTGGCCAACGAGACTCTGGTCCTGGACTCCTCCTCCACCACCACAGGAAGCGACAGCATGAACCTGGTGCTGCGACAGGGCGTCCTGAGTAAAAATGAGTCCTACATCTTCACCCTGCACGTGACTGACAGCAGTTTGGATGGCGAAGGCGCTGCCTCTATCACGTTGCACCACAACACGCCCCCCGAAGGTGGGGAGTGTCACCTGACGGGGCCGGGTGAGGTGGGTAGGTTGACCAGGGATGGAGATGGCTGGAGGATACGGACTCTGCTGGACCGGGTTCACTTCAACTGCTCAGGTAGGAGAAGGAGATTTTCTCACATCTGAACTCTTGATGGATTTCAGTATTTTAACTTCTTCAAATCTCTTTGTGTGATCCTCGTTGCGTCGCCATGTTCACTCTGCAGGTTACAGCGATCTGGGAGTGTCAGAAACGCCCTTCCTGTACAGCCTGCTGGTGACGCGCTGCAGAGAGGACTACTGCGAGGACTTCTGTGTTTACAAAGGCAGCCGTCCGGAGCACTCAGCCTTCCTGCCACCGGGCTTTGGGTCTGCCCGACACCGTGTAGCTGTTTCCATCACGGTGGAGGACCACCAGGGAGCCGCCAGCCTCGCACTGAACAAGTAACATTTGCCTAACTTTTGTTTCATCCATCCTTCCATCCATCCATTATCTTCTGCTTATTCTAAAGCTGGGTCACGGGGGCAGCAGCTTGAGCAGAGAGTCTCTTTCCACAGCCACCTCTTCCAACTCTTCTGGAAGGACTCCAAGGCGTTCCCAGGCTAACCGGGAGACATAGTCTGTCTAGCGGGTCCTGGTTCTTCCCCGGGGTCTCCTCCCAGTCGGACATGCCCGAACCACCTCAACTGGCTCCTTTCAATGTGGAGGAGCAGCGTTTCTACTTCGAGTTTCTCCTGGATAACTCAACTTCTCACTCTGTTTCTAAGGGAGAGTCCAGACCCTGCAGAGGAAACTCATTTCAACCGCCTGTATCCGTGATCTCATTCTTGTGGTCACTACCCAGAGTTTGTGACCATAAGTGAGGGTAGGAACGTAGCCTGACCGGTAAATAGAGAGCTTCACCTTACAGCTCAGTCCCTCTTCGCCACAGCGGACCGGCACAAAGTCCGCAATACTGCAGACGCTGCACCAATCTGTCTGTCAATCTCACGCTCCATTCTTCCTTCACTGGTGATCAAAATCCCGAGATACTTGAACTCCTCCACTTGAGGCAGAATGTCACCCTCAACCTGAAGAGAGCAATCCACCTTTTTCCGGTTGAGGACCATGGCCTCAGATTTGGAGGTGTTGATTCTCATCCCAGCCGCTTCACACTCGGCTGCGAACTGCTCCAGTGAGAGCTGAAGATCACGGCACGATGACGCCAACAGGACCACATCATCTGCAAAGAGCAGATATAGAATCCTGAGACCACCGAACTGGCCCCCTCGCTGCACCGAGAAATTCTGTCCATAAAAGTTATGAACAGAATCTGTGACAACAGGCAGAGTCCAACTCCCATCTTGGGGTCCGACTTACTACCGGCAACATGACCCCAACTCCCGCACCACTTGTATAAAGACCGAACAGCCCGTAATAACGGATGCATCCCATACTCACGGAGCACCCCCCCCATGAGTGGGATGGATTCCAGATGGAATCCTGAGACCACCAAACCGAAATCCCTCCGCCAACTTTTGTTTGTGCACTTAATTAGCATGGAGGTAAATTTAATTTAATCTTTTTAGTTTGTTTTTGCAATATGTCAAGCAACTGTGGCCTTTTTCCTCACAAAACTGATTAAAACTGATCAAAACTGATCAAAACTGATTAAAACTGATTAAAACTGATCAAAACTGATTAAAACTGATTAAAACTGATTAAAACTGATTGCTTAGACTGCGTTCTACATCGTCAACATCATTTCTGTGTCGGCATGCGTGAGCTTTGAAGTGCACATTATAAAACTGTCCTGTTGGGAGTGGAGGTTTTATCAAGAAGTCAGTGTTTTTTACAGATTCAACTTTCCTGAGTAAATGACTAATAGTTTGCTTGTGGTGATGACTTGTTCCTGTGTTGGCAAGACAAAAAAAGCAGCACAAATTAAAGCCTCAATTACTTCTCATTTAGACTCTGCTTGTCTGCCTTTTTTCAATTATGTTGTCTATAAAACAGTGATTAAATTTGATTACCTAGTGTTCTGTAATTATATTCTGGGTCCTTCTGGTCCATAAATTGCTGTTATGTAATCTTAGATTGTCCCACAGATATAAACAGTAGTTCAAACCAAATTTACAAAGATTAAAGCAGATTTTGCTTAGCATTGTTAATGAAAAAAGAAATTGTAGTCCAAAAAAGACCTTTATACAGATTCAAAATATCCTGATACATTAATAATAATCCAATAATCAATAATCCATGTAGAAAAATCTAAAAAAGTTAAGTCTGGTCCTCTGGACATTCAAAAAACAAAACTAACAAAAAGTAGAAACGTTTCGTCTTTCATCCAAAAGACTTCTTCAGTCTTAGGACCATTTTAGACTTTTATACAGATGTTTGAACTTGTAGAAAAATGTGTGTAAGTGTAAGGGGTTGACGTCGATAATGAAAAGTTGTCATTTTAGGTTAGTCTCAATAATTTTCAGGCCGTGCTGCTAGAAAATCTAAAACGATCTACTTCATATAATGAATTATACTTCAAATAATATATTATACTGCAACAAACTTCTGTAAAGCCTCAAGTAACAATTTGGTTAAACTACATTAATCTTTTTTGTCTTTACCCAGAAAAAATACAACCCTAGTTGTATTAGTTTGCTTAGTTAGGGTTAATAAATCTACCATTTTGGCTTTAAATTGACCACATTACTAAAACATTTAAATACCAGCAGTTTCCATTTGAATTAATTTAAATGTTTTTTGAATTTCCTATTTAAGACAACTTTAGCATATTTCTTAGTTCATATGTTGGTTCTTATTACTGTTTTTCTTTATAATTTATATGTTTTTTTTGGATGTAACTGGGACCCTGTGTACACAGTTTCGTTCCTCCACATGTGATGGGAATGACAAGAAAGAAACCTTGACCTTGATAAAAATCACTCTTATTGTTCCAGAGAAGGAGGCCCCTGCTTGCCTTTTAAATTTTGTGAAATCACAGTTTTATGCTTTAAACCAGAAGTGGCCAAAGTTGGGGTGAGGACTCTGCTGTGGTTTGTTGAAAACATGAATTAAAGTGCTTTGAGATGATCTCCAGAAATACTAATTATAATAACTAATAGCATATGTTTGCCAGAACTGTTACAGGAGAATAAAAACTGTACATTTAAATTTACAATAAAGGTTTTGCCAGTTTGTGTTGCCAGTCTGCTCTTTTCTGTTGGCTAATTAGCGTTTAGTTGCTTCAGCCAGTGATTGTCAAGGTTGCGGAAATAAATCCATATTTACCAACAGACCTTTGGCTCTGTGTTTGTATCCAGGACCATTGAGGCTGTGTTGCCAGATCCACCTCCTGAGTACAGCAGTCTTCCTCATTGGCTGTCTGAGCTGACGGACACCAAGCTCAAAAAGCTGTTGGAGCAGGGAGACTCCCAAAGGGTCCGAGAGTTATCGCTGGCTCTCATTACAGTCCTAAATGAGGTAGGAGACACCTAGCCCCCCAACATTTATTCATTCAAGAGCCAATTGGGTGATAACTGATAACTGTGATATTTACATGAACTTTCTTCAGTATGAGCAGAGCAGGGAGTCACTGTGGGTGTCCCAAGACGAGCGCAACTACAGAGTCAAAGTTCGCAGCAACATCACACGAGCGCTGACTTCCCTGGACCTGAATACTGTCAGTGACATCCAGCAGACCTCTGCTGCCTTAGCACAGTGCACGGTGAGCAGGAAGAGAGGAAAGCTAGCAATCGTCTGATTGTCTAAACAAAAGACCGAGTGTGACGGTGCATGTGTGTTTCAGGCTGTAAGTCGAGAGTTCATCTGTGAGGAGTGTCAGAACAGCACGTTGAACAAGCTGGAGTCCATGTTGGAGATTCTGCAGACGGACACCAAGCAGGGCACCGTCACACCCACTGAAATCGCTGACAACATCCTGAACATCATGGGTAAGAAAGGCCGAAAAAACAAGCATGAAGGTATCTGCTGTCATCGCTTCTTGAGTTTTTATTTTTCAGAACTACATTTCCGTGCAAAGCTTTCAGCCTTTTTTGTATTAAATTATAACTAGAGAAACTGGATTTCCTGCGAAAATGCAGTGTGAAAAAAAGCTGAAATTAGCTACAAACATGCTGAAATGGAAGATTATGTTAGCAGAAGAAAACAGAAAGAACAAATAATTGCAGAATTATATTTAAATAAATGAGCATAGAAATGAGGAAATTAGCTAAACAAGCTGAAATTGGAAAAATTGCTAAAAAGTAGCTGAAAAGGCAGAAAGAAGCTGAAATTACCAGAAGGAAGAAGGTGCTGAAATTAGCTTAAAAATGTGGAATTAGCTGAAAAGGCTAAATTTAGCACAAAACTGCTAAAAAGTAGTTTAAATAGCAGAAAAGCTGAAACTACCGACAACAGAAAAAAGCTGAAAGGAGCATAACAAGCTGAAATTAGCAGAAAGAAGTTATTAGGCTGAAAGTATCAGAAATTACCATGAAAAACTTGAATTTTTCTGAAAATAGCTTAGCTAAAAAAGAATGCTTTAAAAAATAGCTGAAAAGGCAGAGTAAGCTTAAATTAGCAGAAGAATGCAGAAAGAACATGTTTGCTGAAAGAAGCAGAAATGAACACGAAAAAGTGGAAATTATCTGGAAAAAAAAACTGCTGAAAAGTAGCTAAAAAGGCAGAAAGACATTGGAGGACGACTGCTCTAACCACTCAGCCACAGCCGCCCACTGATAATATAAATAATAAAACAAGCTCAATTAATTTTCTATGAGGAAAAAAAAAAAAAAGTGGCATAAAAGGCTAAATATTTCAAAAAGCTGAAGTTGCATCAACACCAAAAGTCATGGCACCCTTCTCCTGAACGAGCTGAACGTTTTGATACATGATTTGTTGGAATAGCGCAAAAATTGTGGAATGCGAGTGATGCCAAAAAAAAACATATGGAAGAAAAATGGATCACAGTGAAGCGTTTCACACTATTCTTGAGTGCTGTTAAAAGCAAAAAGGTAAACATGTTTTTTTCTCATATTTATTTGTGTGTTCTTGTTGCATTAGCAGAATAACTCATGAACCAGTGGACAGATTTTTTATGACAAAGTAATAATTGGATTTACAACTGATTATCTATTGGACTCAGCCCTATTCAAGATGGCCACCGCAGCTGAAAAGTAACCTTAAACACAAAAATGTCTCCAACATGGCCGACTGTCCTGATATTGAGACAAATTGACGTGCGTTAGCAGCTGAGCGTTATTCTTGTCTCGTCTCAACAAAAAATGGTTTAAATTTGAAGGTGGCAGACATTATGCATCACTTCAAATATTACGTGGCCTTTTGTTTTTAACTCCCTGTTATTGATTATGATCATATCAGATTTAAAGAGCTTATATTTTCCCCAAACATATTAATTGCACACAAACCGAGCACAAAGATAACTTATCAATCTGAATTAAACCAACAGTTTAGGCTAATTAAATCAATTTCTGTCTGTTTGTGGCACATATCTTCAGTCTTTCAGCATGTTTTTCTTTAAACAAACTTTATATTTTTAAAATATATTTTATTAATTCGTTTACTGGTGTGGACGAGTATCCACCGTGCATTTGAGACAGCTGTTTGCGTCTCCAACGGGTCCTGTTTGCAGTTTGTGTTTGTCAGAACAATCATCTTTAGTTTCCATAGCTTTAAATTTAATCTTACAATAAACTTTTGAACCTTTTTAAGTTTTCTGATCAAAGATTTCTTCTGAACAGGAAAGAAAATGTGACCCACGTTCAAATATGCTGGATGTTCATCTGTCTCGTGTGTCCTTCCTTCAGGTGATCTGATCCATCAGGTCAGCCAGTCAGCCTCCCACTTAAACGTCCAGGCTGCCTACATGGATTCTCCTCCACCTTCCTCCACCTCCTCCTCCTCTTCTGCTGAGCATGGAAACACCCTGTTGGAGCCCTCACCCGCCTCGCTGGAGCCTCAGTCCCTGCATGTGGCTGCTAAGGCCTACAGCCTGTCCTCGGTCCTCATGCTGATCCTCATGCACGCCCGTGTCCTCAACGAGGAGCCGCTCGTTCTCGGTGGGGCCGAGATCGCCGCCACGGGGAAACTGGCCGACCCCCAGAGTCTGCTCTGCTACCATGGCAACAACAGCCCAGGTTGAGTATTTAGTCTGGAAGCACCTATGGGTGAACTTGATGGTGCGATTCTGTAAAGAGGTTTATGAAGCTGAGTCTGAAGACAGGTGCATGATGGGAGTGCGTGACCATCTCTCCTCTCTCTCTGCGGTGACAGAATGCCAGCAGTTCTCCATCCCCAGAGCTTTCAACAAAAGTCTCGGCAGAGCGGCTGCAGGAAGCGGCATCATGCAGCTACTTTTTCAGGTGACGTCAAAAAGCATAAAAGCTGTTCAGGACAGAATGTCTCTTTGAATCGTCTCTTTAGACTCGCTTTTTCAAGAACTCGGCATGGAGTCTAGATTTCTGCCACTGCCAAAGCAAAGCAATGTTGTCTACTGTGTTAGCAAAATATCTCATTAACCAGTCTCGGAAAGTTTTCATTAGATTAATATCTACAACAGATTAATTTCTGGAGTCATCCTCATTCAATGTGGCCGCCACAGCTAAAGAAACTTTGTACAACTTGGTCAACTTTACAGACACTGAGCTCAAATTTAGTGTGGTAGTAGCTGAGACTCCTCCCCAGCATGTATTTTGAATGCTAACTGATCTAATGGAATCTTTTTTTTTTTAACTTTGCCATTATCTGTTGATTTCTACCCTGTCTGTCTGTTAGCAAAATATCTCATGAACTAAATAAAACTGGTTAATCCATTTCAAGATGGCTGCCAGAGCCAACTGATGATACAAAATAACGACTCAATCAAATTTACAGATATTGAGCTAAATATTGGTGTGATAGTAGCTGAGCAACATCCCCATCAAATACCATGAAAGCTACTCGTGGTGCAATATTTTTATTTAAAGCTTAGGCAATAACTCATATAGTCATAACTGTGTGTGTGTTAGCAAATAACCTCTTGACCCACTGGATGGATATTAGTCAAAGTCTCAAGAAGTAATTATTACATGTACCTCTACAACTCATTACTATTTGATGTCGTCCAAGTTCAAGGTGGTTGCCACAATGAATCAGCCTTAGCCAACACAAAAATGCCTATAACAGTAGTCCCTTGTTTATTGCGGGGGTTCGGTGCACCGAACCCCCGCAATAAACAA